CCCCCCCCCCAAATAAAAGTACCTACTTTTCTAATTAATACTTACTCTGAGTCTGCTTTTTTCTGAACTGTTTTTTATGTCCACCAAAGTAATCTTTCTTTGCCCTGGATAACAGAAGTAAATAGTAATCATAAAACAAAGCTTCATCAAATATAGACAAAACCTGTTCTCAGTGATTCGTTTCAATGCGAACAATGTAACAGCTAAATAATAGATACACTCCTTCAGGCAGAAAAATGTTCAGCATATGACATCTTCATTTTCCTTTGCATAATATGTTTCTTATCCCTTTACTATAATTGAGTGTAAAGGTGTCACTTTGATGTACATAAAACCAACATATTTAAAAATTCCTCACCTCATCACAAAGAGTGAGTACAGCCAGCCTATGGGATAGTCTTATTTTGGCCATTTGTACTTGGGACTTTTTTTTACCCAGAGCTCATGTCCGCAGACTGGGATTGGGATGTGCTCTTTCATCTGCACCTTGATTTCCTGTTCATTAAATCACAAACAAAAGCAGAGACAAGACACGCAGAACAACCACCCTAAGCGCCTTCAATTTTGCACCAAGGATTCAGACAAAAAACTGATACTCCATTCTTCCAGTTGCAGCCTCATATTCCTGCAGTTTGCTCCCGTGGCACATGCCGAGGAACACGGCCCCCTGGGAGAATGTGCGGATTGCACATAGAGAGCAAGGCTAACTCTGAATTTATATGCCATGCCTTCATGGTAAATGTGAAGCACTAAGGCTGCTTTCTGCTGAACGGGTGACCTGCTGTGTTTCTCATTTGACTTTTTCTTGACTCTCGTCTGCTGTCTGCATGTGATTTGGAACTTGGTTTTTGCTCCTGATTCTTGGATTATGTTTGGGTGCGTGCAAGTCCTTGCTATAAATCATTAAACCTGCTTGCTCTTCTCTTGGGTCTATGAGTGTTTTTTCTCTCTGTATTTGTATATGTATATTTCTTTACTTCTTACTGCGTATGCTGTACACAGGGCTGAATGATCAAACCCTCTTTAACCTACAGCTTCTGATCTATTCTGGAGGCCCAATAAACCATTCATTCTTCAAAGTGTTTTCCCCCTCTCCCTGCTTGATTGGACCTTACATAGCTCCAGAAATGTTTGTGAACAGTAGGTCCGAAAACACTGTTTGTCTCCGATTGGCTGACCTGAAACAGCACCCCTAACAAGTAAAACTCATTATCACATACATTAAGGTCATTAGTCAATCAAACATGCAAGTATGATTGAACAAAAAAGATACGTCATATTTAGTCACCCTGATGGAAACAGCAAAGTTTGTACGTTTCTTAAAGGTCATAAATTATGTTAAATCAGCGTTTGACCTAACCAATAACTCTTAGGAAGAGGGGTAACTAAAACTCATGATAATCTAGCCTAGTATACATTTTTCATGGGGCATCCATTATGACTTATCCTGGCTCCTGAACAGCCACCCGCCCCTCTCCCCATTTCCAAACTACCCCATAACTCAAGAATCCCAAATTGTGATTATTTTCCACACACGAGCATCGAGTATGTACACTCAATGGTAGTATTTCTTTTAATTCACCAGGTGTCGCTATAACACCATACGCAGCTTTTTACGGTCCAGACGGCATAGAATAGATGACAAACAACACGATTCTTCTAAAGAAAGCCTGTAATTTAAATGGGGGGGGGCTCCATTAATCGTTGCGCAGATCACACGCAGACCTACAACTGACTATGAATTTGCAAGTTTTTTGTTTGTTTGTTGTGTTTTTTAATTAAAGAATAGTTTCAAAAATCCACAAAAATTATCCACAAAACGCCGTTTGTAAATCTGCAATGAATCCATACGTAATTTAACTCGAATGTAACACCGTTTTTAAATTGAGTAGGCTTATCTTGGCAAAATAGCACAGTAGTGTGTATTTGCTCCTGAACTAAATTGGGAATGTGGCTTACACCACCAAAGTCTTCAGTGTTGCATCAAACAAAAAAAAATATTGCGGGAAAATATTCAATTCTTATTCATTTATTTTTGTCCGCACATCCGTTGATAAAAATACAATAATATATCCATATATTGCCTGTGCCCGCTTGTCCTTTAACAATACAATTCCTGGAATGGTGAGTGAAGATGAGTTTAACGAGGAAAGGAATGTGCTAGAGAGCACGGTGCACTAAATATATGTGTTTATCATCGAGTAGGCCTATATTACGTGATATCGTCGAACTCTGCCTGAATGCGTGATATACGTATTCCACACATCTGTACTGCATGTTATGATTTTGCCCCTTTTATGTAAGCCGGTTACAAGAACAAACGTGCCAAATATTCAGTGGGTCTATTTTTTCTCTCGTTTCTGATGTTACCACACAACGTACAATAAACGGCATTAAAGGCAAATCATATGAATTGCTAAGTAAGTAAATGAATATGACAAAGACCAGGGCAAGGGCAGACAAGCTAATGAGCTTGAGCAAAATGCATTGCGATGCGCAGACAGGGTGCAGTATTTTCTGTCTGCCTGAAGAGGGAGCTGCATTTTAAATTTGCAGAAAGCTGTCACCAAAAGCTGAAAAAGTTTGCTGCGCACGTTTGGAATTATTTTGCGGAGAGCCAAATAGCTACTGTTAACATGAAACTTTTCTTTAAATTAAATTAAATTAAAGTAAAGTATAAGGTTTATTGAAGACGCCCACAAAAGAATGCCCGGGCGTTCAGAAGGAAGATGAATTTATTGTCATTGGAGGCACTGTCCGCTTTGCTCTCCCGTGACGTCCCGTCCTGCAAAAGTCTGTCGCGGAGCAGAGTACCAGTACCAGCATCATGCGGTTAATTGCACCACAAATGCTTGCGAGCTGTATGAATTAGTCTTGGGGTGTTAATGCGTAGGATATATCATGGCAAAGCAAATTTGTGAACCTGATATTAACAAAAACATACCAAAAGCACTGGCTGGTGAAGTATCGCTGCCAGCTATCTAAACGTACTTCGCTGTACAGTATACTTTTTACAGTGGAATTCGCCATAATTCAGACATTTTAATGTGTTTTTCAGTGTTTTGGTGAGACACTTTAATATTTCACAGAAAAGGCGGTGGGATTTGTTTGGCGGCTCCTTTTGGAGGCCTGGATGTAAATTACCGTAACATTGTATTTTATTTGGGGGACAGAAACATTTTCCAACTCTTGAAGTTACATTTTAAAAACCATATTTTTACCTTTACCCAGGTCCGTTATCCAGATTACCCATTTAAAAACGGTATAATTGCATTCCAAAGTGGTGCTTTAAAATGTTTATCAGTTTATTGCGGATTACAGCACTACTGTAAAGCAAAGTAGTCTTTTGCTAATAACGATGACATTAATTTCAGCGGTAAATAGTGCATTGGGAGTCGTAGGTGATCTTTTTTAAAAAAGTTGTATATACATCAGTATGTATCACTAACACAATTTAATAGTCCTTGTCCAGACTGAGTCCACAGTGTTTTTATTGTGAGAGTTATAATTATATACCTTTGTTTTATTGTTGTTTGGTATTGTACAGGTTTTCTCACCATGCATACAAATGAAACATGGTTTTTGATTACCTTGAAACTTAACATAAGTTAACATAAGTTAACATAAAAAAGGAACATACCAAACTCAAGTTAAGTACATCATATGAAGTTTAAAATAATAAAATATTGTGCAGTATTTGTTGATTGATATGTACGTTTATAAGCAGATCTTTTATTAAATAGCCCACAGCATATTAATCGTCTTATTTTAAACCTCATGCAGTCTTGGAAGAAATATTGTTAACACACGTAAAACTGGGTTAACGACATAGAAAAGGGAGATATTGTTAAATGCTTGTTTGCTGTTGTGAATAATAATAATAATTATTATCATTATTATTATAAAGATTTATACGGCCACTAAAGTTATGTTAGTAAATAGGTGGAAGCCTTCATCTGTCTATTAGAAAACATTTTATTGGTATTAATATTTCTTAGTTTTCAACGAACGGGTGTATTGGGCACAAGGCACTGGGTTTTATACACATAATCGTATCATTAAGTCGTATCATTAAGTTAGCTACTACTACCATTGCACCGAGGGAAAGTTTTAGCTGGAGGAGTCACCTGATAGGGATTGGAGGGACTTTTTCCCCACCCCCAGCAGCTAGGAGACCGCCCACAACAGACAGTCGGCCCTAGACCCCTTATAGATTTAAAAGAGAGGCTGCATTCACAGGCTGACATTCATCCAACACGATCCTAAGTAAGCTGAGTACTTTCCGCTGTCTGTTTCATTACTTCAGTTCACGTTGCCTTCACCATGCTAAGGATGCTAAGGAAACATCAGCTCCGTCCGGGCGTGCTTTTATTACTTGTATGGCTCTGTCACTTCCTACAAGATCAAAAGGTGCAAGGTAAATATGATCTTTAATCCATAATGCAGTCTTATTACAATTTGCTTTAAATGTTATATATTGTGGGGTAGACTTTATGAATGTAACAGCCTGACCAAATCGTTAAAAAATCACGTTAAATCATTGAGCCTGTGTTGTGATTGTAAATTATATGATTCATACTGTACATTAAAGAAGACAAGTATATCCTTTAAAACGGATATGTAACGAATACATATCAAAACCGTTCTGGGAGTACATTACTATGAAACTTTCTATTGTGGTCTTTTATTCAAGTTATTGACGTGCTGTATACGGGATGATATGTTCATGCATAAAGGTTTAATTACGGATCAGTGAGTATCAGCTGTGGAAACACCTTATTCACTCAGGGATATAACAGAGAGAAAGAAACTTCTAACAATATTACTTAATACTGACATAACACGTGGTAAGTGTTCTGCATATGTGACTTCTTAGCAGTTTATCGGGAAATTAAGTATAGATAACTATGCCTGAATATAGACGCTTTCAGCTTTCTCATTATCTTATTTTGAAGGGGTGTAACTTTACGGGATTTGAATATTAATACTTCGTAAGAGTCCAAAATAGCAAACCTGAATCAATGACTATTTTGTTTATAGGTTAGTCGCTTTGCTGCTATCGGATTGCTAGTTTTTAAAGTTACAATACATGTAGCCCAGACAACATGAGAAAGTGCCACCAACTGTACAATGTGAGATAACAGAAACGTTGCGTGACCGCATAATAATTGCAACAATATGATGTATTCGTCCGTCAGTTTTTTAAACATTAATTCGTGTGTGGTTTTATGTAAACTACTGGCATGTGTTTTGTATAAAAAAATAAATAAATAAAAAACTCGTTAAAATGTATGTTATTCGTTATTCGTTAGTCTCTGCACGGTGAAGATACGTTTCTTTAATGGGCTACTTTAACGATTGTTGTAGAATTGTAAACGGATTTTAATTCACAAATTTAATGGAGCATCAACTTTAGACAAGGATCAGACAAGCAAATGCCCTACAGTCGCATTGCATTACCAAGTCAGACAGAATAGTGCGGGGGGGCAGACTATAAACTAATACAGGCTACACGTGCTCTGTCTGGGTCATTTGCCTCAGACATTAATTCCACTGGCCTTTTTTTTCAGCTGGTAACTGCTGGCTGCAGCAGGGTAGGAACGGAAGGTGCCAGGTCCTATACATGCCTGGGATGAGTAGGGAGGAATGTTGTAGGAGCGGTAGACTGGGGACCTCGTGGAGTGAGGAAGATGTCCCTAACAGCACTCTGTTTCGATGGATGATCTTCAATGGTGGGGCCCCAAACTGCATACTTTGCAAAGGTGGGATTTTTATGGTTTCAGATCAGGCATAGTTTTTATGTGTGAAGCACACACTCAAATGTAACGATTAAAGCAAAAATACATTGTGTCAGTTAAAACAGTGCTTCACACCCATGCATCTCTGTCAGCAGGTCTATATAAGGCTTTTCAGAGACACTGTAAGATGGCTTGAGAATCGCGTTGAGTCACAAACTACTATTCTGAATACTTGTGAAGCATTCTTCATCTGTGCACGTTCTCATGTGATTCTTAACCTAATTTTTAACCCAGTTACCTAATAATTATTTGAATTGCAGAAACATGCGACAACGTGGACTGTGGCCCGGGCAAGAGGTGCAAGATGAGTAAGAGGAGCAGGCCGCGGTGTGTGTGCGCTCCCGACTGCTCCAACGTCACCTGGAAGGGCCCTGTGTGCGGATCCGACGGCAAGACCTACAAGGATGAGTGCGCCTTGCTGAAGGCGAAGTGCAAAAGTCACCCCGACCTCGACATTCAGTACCAAGGCAAATGCAAGAGTGAGTGACTAAAATCCGAAAATCGCTTTTGTAATAAGCTGTGGATGCTCTCACACCATGATGGCTGAGAGACATCATATACCCTTGCATAAATGGAAACACTAGAATCTCAAATCATTAAAACATACTCTTCTTACTGTTTGCTGCAGTGTTTCTCAATCCAGTCCTTGGGGAAGAGTATTTTTTAATGATTTGAGACACTAGTGTTTCCATTTATGGCCAGTTTAATTGCCAGAGGGATCTCGGAGGGAGCAAAAACGTGGACCAGCTGTGAGTCCCTGGATTGGGTAACACTGCTTTACTGCAATTAATTGTTGATTTTTTTTCTTTCTCCTTACAGAGACCTGCCGTGATGTTCTTTGTCCTGGAAGCTCTACATGCGTGGTGGATCAAACCAATAACGCCTACTGCGTGACCTGTAATCGTATCTGCCCCGAGGTGACATCACCGGAACAGTACCTTTGTGGAAACGATGGCATCATTTATGCAAGTGCCTGCCATCTGAGACGAGCCACATGCCTCCAGGGCAGATCGATCGGCGTTGCATATGAGGGAAAATGCGTCAGTGAGTACTGCTACCAACAAACACTGCACAAATGCGTCAGTGAGTACTGCTACCAACAAACACTGCACAAATGCGTCAGTGAGTACTGCTACCAACAAACACTGCACAAATGCGTCAGTGAGTACTGCTACCAACAAATACTGCACAAATAATCATTTGGCCTTTCACAGGAATATATTAGGTTTAGGTTAGGCTTTAAATTACTTATAATTGTATTTCAATGTCCTATTTTTAGACTTGTGAATAACCAATGTCAGTAATCTGGTCAGTCTGCATATGGTGCAATCATTTTGCAAGTATTTATGTAAATAAGTTTGCAACTCTTGCAGTACTTTCAATGGTATTATAACTGTGAAAATCATTATTTTACATTTAAAATATGATAGTTATTTGAGTATTTCACTTTTTTTAATAGAAATACTGATCACTTCTAGTATACTAGTAAACATAACCATATCTGTGACATCTAATTTCAACTGGTTGAAGGTTTAAGTGTTTTTGATATTCCTTCTATTCCAGAGGCCAAGTCTTGTAATGACATTCACTGCAGCGCAGGTAAGAAGTGTCTCTGGGACGCGAGGATGAACAGGGGGCGCTGTTCCGTCTGCGGCGAGCCGTGCCCGGAGAGCCGCTCCGACGAATCTGTATGTGCCAGCGATAACAGCACATATCCCAGCGAGTGCAGCATGAAGCAGGCTGCTTGTGCTATGGGGGTTCTGCTGGAAGTTAAGTATTCAGGATCTTGCAACTGTAAGTAATCCAGTGAAAGACACGTCTACATTCTTGCTGATCCCTCTGCCCCCCATACACACATGCCCTCCAGTTTAAGCAACACAAAGGACTTGGGAAGGGGAGTATATACGCGTGTCCTCTTGTGCTGCCTTATATATATACAGTATATATATTTTGCATATATATGCAATTATTTGAATCCAAAAGGAATATGTCACAAAAGAAACTCATTTGATCTAAGGACTAATTTTTGGAAGCAGTTCAACCACTTAGTCTTCAGTCGTATAACTAACAGAAATATAAAAATCTGACAATAAAATTTTTGCATTTGGAACAATCATAAATTTAGATAGCTATGCATGAGGTCGTCTTAGTGACTTGCTATGTGCCGTGTAGCGAGTTGCCTTAATAATCACACCATGTATTTATTGTTCTTAAGATAAACAGACTGTCATACAGTGGATCTGTTACTTAAAATCCTGTTAACACCATAGACAAACTGTTGTGTTAAATGTGTATGTATGAAATTTCTTTTGATTGTAATCAGTATTTTTCAAAGCATAGTGTGTCTATGATGAGATGATGACATACACTTCAAAAATGTTGGAAAAATACAGGTGCATTTATTTCATAATGTACATGAGGTGATCATCATTGGTGCTAGTTTATTATGAATAATAAATGGTGGCTTATTGTATATGCTGCCTGGCTGCACTATAAATTCTACCAGCCCTGCACAATTATTTTGTAATGTTCCTGCAGTAATTCTCAATTGAATCAAAACTGACCATCATGTTTAATTGTCATTGAAATCTGCTTCCAACCGAGAACAATGTAACGGTCACCCTACAAGTCTGATAACATGTCATTTTGCTGTTGAAGTATGCAAGTTAATTTTATTTTATTTTGCTGATAGAAATCAACCTATCACACAAATCTGTGTCTGTTCTTACTTGTTGCCCTGTAAGTGTTCATGCTGTTTGATGTCTGTTTCTTTTTTTCTTTTCTTTTTTTCGTTTTTTGTTTTGGTTCGCCTGTTTTTGTTTCTATGTAAAAATGTTAGAAAATACCTCAAAGATGCTGCCCCTTGGCTCTGCTGCAGGGATCTCGGTCCAGCGCAGGTGTCATTCAGCACATTATCAGCAGCTGCAACAAGGGATGCCTAAAAGGAGAAAAAAATAGAACAGAAAAGCACTTTTTTTCTGCTTTCAGGAATCTGTCAGATGGGCCTGAGCTACTGAATCTTCACACACACTCCCTCCCCTTGCCAGTTCTTACTTCCTAGACTATGTAAATTGCGCTGCATAATTTGAGGTGCCACACTGCATCCCTGGCTATGGGGTCAGACCTGTGTAAACATGCACTGACTGCTGGGCTGTTGTGATCCCTATTTATACAACAGATGCCCTGTATTCTCCCATATAGCCATTACTGAAGACCAGGAGGATGACGATGAAGATGAAGATCAGGACTACATGGCTTATATCCATTTATCTTCATTTCTGGACGGATAAAACACCACTGCTTGTGGGACAGTCCTAGGACAATGACTTTTGTTCATACTGTACAAATGTGTATGCTTATTTATTTTTAAAAAAGTATACATATAGTATAGTCTGATAGATGTTTATTTATACTATGTTCATGTTTAATAATTTATACATTTACAATGCCAGGCTTACTATCTACCAAGCTATTTTGTATTATTGCCCGATTTTGGTCATTGCCACTTCTGTCTTTTGTAATGAAGAGTTATACAGTATTTGTCCAAAGATAAGCAGTGTTATTTATTGTGAGGTATGACGTTATCACGTGAAGTATACATCTCCTGCAAGTTGTCAATCGCATCCCGTGAGCTGTACATATCTGCTTAACACGATTATTTTCTGCATTGCAGGTATTTATGTTGGAAAATGCATGCTAACTTTTGTGTTAATTTATCTGGACACTTTTCAGTGATGTGCAGAATTGTCTGTTTACAACTCACTAGAACTGACCAAAGGGGCTGTCTCAGTGGTTCTGCAAATATACTTTTTGTGGTGTAGCACAGCGAAATTAATGAGCCATTTTGCCTAGAAGTAAGCAATGTGTTTTTGTATCTTGGGAACAGAGGACTAAGACACTGCGCTATCAGTATTAGTATTCTGTTGCAGTATTTTTTCTACATTAGAATATCAATGGAGTTTAGACAATACCTGGTTTTGTCAAAAATGTGCCAATAGCTTTTATATGCCATTTTTGCCAATGTATGTATTTTCTCCTGGCCAATGTTCTGCTCCATGTTGCTCTTGCAGGGCTAACAATCAGATAATATAGAGTCATGAAACAATGTATCAGACCTTACTACTCTAGTTTTCTCACATTTTTCACATATAAGGCAAATACAAATCCAGTTATAAATATATAGTTTTGTATTTTTTATGTAAATGTCAAATGTATATAAAAGTTATGATGGAATTTGTACAGATACGAAATGTGAATGAAAATAAAATGTTTTCCTTAAAGTTTGGTTTTCACTGTTATTGTCAAATGTTTACCACGTGCTTCAAACTTACACATTTAATAAACGCTTCAGCGTGGGTAATATACCGTAGCACAATTACTGTCCTTTAACTAAAATAGCGTATTAATCAGTCAACGTTGGGAAGAAATAAAAAATGTTTGAGATTCTCTTATATTTATTCATAGTTGCATTTTAACCACATAACCGAGGCAAAATATACAATTATTAAGCAGTAGAAACATCCATCCGTCAATCTTCCAAACATTTATCCCCTGATTCGCGGGTGGCACGAAACAAATACATAAACTGGCAGGAGATAAGTACCAGTAAATGTCAGTATGGTTCATAAACAGGCGGATCAAAGCAATCCGTAAAACAAACGTTAGTGGCAGTAATAATACGCAGGAGGGAAAATCTGTAAATATAATTACTGCATTTCACTGGCTCTGTACCTGTACTTAGTAAAATGCCAATTAGGTTGTAAGTAGCTTGCAACCAGAAAGAGTTAAAATTGCTCTGTTTGAGTATATGTGTATATATATATATATACACACACACACACACATATATATACATATATATATATCTCATGTTTAGCTATCAGGAGCTTTGCCGTTTTGATTTGAATGCCGTTAGATGAACACTCTAAAGGAGAGAGAAACGGACACTTCTGCGAAAGTCTTCCCCTGGCTTTCGTGCCTGCTGCTCCCCAAAACGCTTTGCCCTGCATTTGGACCTCTTCGCTTCTCGTAGTTTTTATTTCGCATTCCGGCTGAACATGGCGGCTACTGTGTTGTATTTGGCTGCGAAGCGGCTCCCTGTGGCGAATTCGTCCTCTAAATTTTTGCTACCTGCTGTCCGGTAAGCGCAGTCTGCAAAGTGAACTGTATTATTTTTGGTTATATGACTGGGTTGGGAAAAGGCAGTGGTTAATAGTGGTTAATAGTACAATGTATGTTCTACAGTAGCCCTCAAGGAATGGCTAATGTAAACGACGAACTTCGCTGTACAATATCAAGCACATTTTCATGCAGAACTTATTGGCAGATTCACAGCATCTAACTGTTTAAAGATGTATAGTCATAGCCTCGTTTGACTGTTTATACAACTTCTGCTGCATAACTGCCAGTTAGCCGACTTATCTACGTGCCCTTGTTACGACCTCGCTACCTACTTTAGGTGGCTGGCTAACTGTGTGCTCTGATCACTAGGCTATGCTACACAGTCGGGTGCTTTAAATAGTTAAAATAAAGGTGCCTTTTTAAAATTGCACTAAATATGCAAGTGTGTGTACTAGCTAGCTGTAACTCGTGCAAACGACTTGTAAATGGCGACAAACAACCCTTGTTGCATTTTGACGTTAAAAGCGAACATCTGAGTACCTTTCATCTTGAGCAATGGACATATTAAAAACACATTTTCTATAGATAATTATGGTAACGTTGAAACGGACCGTTCTTTTATTTGTATGAGAATTAAACTTCTGTAAAATAGCTATATATATATATTTAAATATTGATTTTCGGTAAGGTTCTGTTTGTCGATTTAAAACAAACACCGATGATGTTCCGCAACTCAATGAGGACATCAGTTGAGCGCACAGTTTAACATGCTAACTTGTAATTTGCTTGAAAGTGTTAATTGTAAGTTAACAGGAAATAAAGCAATTGTCGAACACTGTTTTAACGGTTAAACTGTTGGTCCTCTCTGTTGTGATGCAAATGTGATTTTTAAGAGCCGGGTCTCTTAAGTAAAAACATATACATTACATGCTGTTAGTTCTAAGACAAACTGAAAGGAATGCCCCCCCATAATGAAACATAGTTGCCATTCACACCACAGATCCTATTAATATCAGATGATATATACTGTTGATCCCTTTTGGAATTTTTTTAAATGCAGATAAATTACTTTTTTCTGAGGAAAGCCTTGATCATATCTACTTTAATATTCCATTAGGAATAAAATATATTCAAAACAGGTCTTGTTTTTTTCCGGTTTATCCTCTTTATATAATAATTATTCTTTGACTTATGGTTTATTTTATCAGTCTGTCTTGTTTGACTAAACTTGATATTTGTGGTTGTAAAACAGTATTTTCATAAATAGCCTTTTGATAAAGTTGCTTATTCAAAAAAAATCATTCTTGCTTATTTGAGAACTTTTTGTCTATAAAATGCTTTAAAAGCTATGCCCAGCATGTTACTGCTTGCAAATGCCTTTCAGTCCTACCACTTGAGCATTTTTAGTTTTTTCTTTCCTCATTCGATTTAACCCCAACCGGCCTTGTCCTCCGATAACTCCGGATGGAGAAGGTCAGGAGAGTTTAGTCTGTCCACAGCATGGTGAGCGTTTGCTGTTGGTGACCAGTCCACTGCCACGGCCCGGCACAATCAGCCCTTGCCGTCGGCACTTTCCTGGTAATAGTGAGCCCCCAGGCTGGCTTAAATTGCAGTCTGTTGTGAGCTGGCCAAGCAGGGCCTGCCAGAAACTCAGCAGACAGAACTAATGGGGGAGAAAATGGATTTGCAGTCCCCTCCTCCCCCCGCCCCCCCCCCCAAAACCCTCTATGGTGTCTTTTTTTCATTTATTTTGAAATATCCTCGTATGACATTTTCTTGTGTGTATTCATGCTTGTAACTTGTTTGCAGGGCGGCTATAACGTCTGGGAGGAGGCTGGCGCAGGCTGGCGGTCCCGACACACAGCTCATCGCAGTGGACGAGAAGCTGGTGAGGATCCCTTATCCTCAAACAGGGATGGTACCTTCCAGTTAATCTGCGAATTCAGTCTGCTGTTGTGTTAACAGTTACGTGAGAAGCTCTGAGTTCAGAATATTCCTCATGTAAGGGGGGGGGGGGGCGTGGCCTCCACAGTCCACTGGCTGCTCTCTCTGCCTAGATCATAAGTCTGACCTTGCAGTGAAGCTTTTTCATTTGCAGGTGTTTTAATTACTGTATTCAATGACAGTATTACAAATTTCCCACCCGGCCATTAGCTCTGTTCAAGCTTTCTCACGTTAGCTTTTCAGAAGTGTTAGCCCTCTTCACTTGTACGGTAAACCTCAATATTGTCACCGGCGACTGCTTGACTTACACTGCTGTTCAGGTCACTCCTGTCTGCACGCTGCACCACAGCCTCTGAGCTCGACCACCGTGCCTCAGATGGGTAACAGCAGATGGAAACCTTTCAAATGCGCAGACACAGAGAAATATTGATGCTTAGATGTATTTTTTTTGAGTTGGGCGGGGGGCTAATGCGGCTGCTCCAAGCCCAGACTGTGGCAGCACTGGCAGACGGGCTTTGGCTGCGTCGGCCACTGAGCTCCTGGCTGGGACCACTGGTGCGTAAAAAGAGCCGGGGGGGGGGGACTGGGGGAGGTGGTGAGAGATGGGGCCAGTCCAAAATCTGTGCCCAAAGGTCACAGTGTGGGATTTCTGCATGAGACGTGAAGCTTTCAGATTTTAATTTTTCCTCCGTACAGAAACGGAAGGGAAGCCTTGTTCTGGTGGGGGACATTTGGCCCGTTGCATTCGGAACCCGCACAGTGCGGAGCGACCGCGAGCCAGGCAGCACCATCACCGCGGCGACCTGCTCTTCCCCCTGGCGCGCAGTGGGAGCGCCGTCGCTGCTGTCGGCCTAAATCGTTTTTAATTAATTGGTTGACTGTAAAAGCATTGTGCAGCCTCCAGAGTGAACGCTGTCATTATTTATCTCTCTAGTGGGTTTATGAAGTCAGCACAGGTTCCCCCTCTGTGGAATATAATGGCCAATTTGCGTCACGTTAGTGATTAAAGACGCGTGTCAGAGCAGCCCGGTCCTAGGGGTTCGTCCTAGCTGGCCTTCGCCAGCAGTCACCGTTGGACTGGGCGAGCTGTACAGCTACAGACGCTGTCTGGATGGCTGGCGACGTGGATCTGCGCACGGCAGCCATCCCCCTACCCCCAAACCCCCCCCCCCCCCAAAGTGAAGAGGATAGGCCAAGTAGAGCAAAGCAGAGACTGGCAACCGCACTTGTCAGAAGGCACGTAGACGTTTAACAAAGTGGGAAGAGGACGAAGTGAGGGGGGGGGGGGGGCGGTTTTGAAGGGGGGGGGGGGGGGGGGCTGCATTGAAGAGGATGTGTTGGACAGGTATTCAGGGCACGTCTCTGTGCCAGCGTGCTGATTAGGCATGCAGCGACTGTCCACTCTGTTCAGCAGCGTTTCATCTCATTATCCGTACAATACCCACCATGGTGGGGCCAAATAATCCAGTTATGCCAGTCTGCAGGCGAAAGTCTCATTTAAAAACAGGCCTTGGAGGGGCCTTGTGAGGGGGCCGGCCCATGGGGCCCATGGGGCTTCACCGGCCAGCATGTCATTTAACAGAAAGTAAACATGCTTCAATATTCATCAGTGTTAAATTTAAATTGTCCAGGAGATTAACCCTTTAACAATTATTGTGCAGAAAACCTTACCGCTTTTGTTTTTCTGTCACTTAAAACTTTTTTTTCGTAATTGAAGTCCCATCCCGTGGAAATGCAGATAAAACTAAAGGCCATCGTCAAGGGCGTTTCCGAGTGGGGGGTTAAAAGGGTCCATCAGGGAAGACTGGTCTGTTTCCCCCCCCCCCCCCCACAGGCACACACACTCCAGTATCTGTTTTGTCTGCTGCAGCATTCTTGCGCAGAAATTTCAAGGCTTCGGTCCTGAACACTGGGTCAGAAGTTATGCCTGTTCGAGGGGGCGGGCCAAGACTGTGCATTTCTTACGAAATGAAATTTTGTGTATTTAATAATTGGGGGAAAGTAAAACCTTTATTTAGGGGGATTATACTTCTGGAGAAATGGGCACTCTAAGGGTTGTTAAATTTCGCAGTATTTGTTCACCTGGATAAGTTACCGAATCGGTCTCGGCTCAGAAGTAGTTGCACCTTAATGCATTTAGAAATGGTTTGGCTTTGACTGAAATTTCTGCTTCATTTTCTGTC